TGCCACCTTACATGACAGTTTACGCATGGTATAGAAATGCTTAGTCGTCATTTTCAACTTCTTTAGCATATTCGTCAGGAGTTGTCTTATATTTGTTAGGAACTGTTTTTGAAAGTATACCACCTTGAACTTTGACAAGTTTGAAACGAGGTCTGACAATAGTCGTTTTATCTTCTGCTTGCAGTCTGTACATTTTGCCATGTTTGCCTAAAACTTCATAATATTCTCTTGTATACTTTCTTCTATTTTTACGAACACGAATGTGAGTACCTGTCGGGTTCCCATTGTTGTCATAGTCAATAGTATTTTCATATGGGTCGCGTTTAGGTATTTCTATTTTTACTTTGTCACCTTTCTGAAGTTTGAAGCCCGGCATTCTTTCTTGTTTGTCTCTTTTGACTAAATTATTAAATATATAGTCTTTCTCTAAGTCAGGGTTGTTTTTCATTTCTTCGGGGGAGTGGTTTCCCAAACCTTTTTGTTTACGGCTATTGTAAATATTTAAAACTTGTCTCATCTTTGCCTGGGAGAAGTGTCTATACTTGTCGTCATATGACATTTCATTTGCTTCACCACCTTGTGGTTGGTTTAAGTCTCTTAACATTTTTATACAACCGTCAATGACACCAAGAGCAGAATGGTTTTGGTCGACAATGAAATATTGGTTTACATTTTTTGAACGCAGATAGTTTTTTACATCATCTGATTTGAAAGAACTTTCAAAGTCAGATGTCAGTTTTGTTGGATGGTATTTGTCAACGAATATTGTCAAAGCAGTTTTCACATCTAAAATATTTTTGGACCATAATGGTATGGCTTCACAGTATCTTGTGTTTTGACCGACAAATATTAGCCAGTATGGTGGTCCATCTGTTCTAACTCTCGGAATGTTTTCCAAGATATCCATAAACCAAGCATTTGGTGTTGAACTAAAGATTTTTACCATGAGTGCTTTTTTTGTTGCTTTAGAAACATAGGGGTCCTTGTTTGGATTCGTCATTTTTTATCCTATAAGAAATGGGTTTATTTGGCGCATTAGCAGGAGTTGCATCCAGATTTTTGCCCGCAGTGGGAACAATAGCCAGAGGTATATTTGGAGTTGGAAGGAAGATTTTGAGTACATTAGGTATACTTAAAGAGAAAGCACAACCTATTATACAAACTGTACAGAAAGGTTGGGATGTAGCACGAGATGCAACAAATCTTATTCCAAATCCTGAAACAAGAGGAAAAGTTCAAGGATGGATGGACAATGTAGGAAGACAAGCAGGAAACTATTATAACAAAGCAAATGACTACTATAACCAAGCAGGACACTATATGGACCAAGGTGAAAGATTCTTTAACAGAGGATATAACCATGCACAACAATGGGTAAACAATAACCAATCTCAACCGCCTCAAACGTGGGGAATGTAAAGTTTTTTACTGAGATGAAATGAACAATACAGCATTGAGACAAATGGGTTCAAGATGGATTTGTCGGCTTCCAGCAGTTACACAACGTGTTTGTCAAGTTCTTCCTATACCTCAGGAAGTTTTAGACCGACTTAAAAAACAACAACAACCAGTTGAAAACAAACCAAACTAAAATTTTTTACTGAGATGAAATGACCGAAGAAGTTGAAACGGTAGATTTGACACCACAAACAAAAAGTTCAGAACCATTGTCAAAACCTGTCAAAGAACTTACAGATGAAGAGAAAAATTCAATAATAGAAAGTGCCAGGTCTGGAAATACAAACCCTAACTACAAAGTCACTTTTCATAAAAATGGAACGGCAAGTATCTCAAAAAAGAAACAGACTCTCACAAATAAAATATTGAAGTCTGAAGGAGCTTTCGAGACAACAGATGGAAAAGTTTACTTCACTGACCAACAGTTCATTATAGAACATCTCATTGACTTAGAGTCGAAATATTCTAAACTTTACAACAAACACAAAAAGTTGAAAGGAAAACAAAAACAAATGGCATATGATATTTATGAAGATGTTGACGACACAACTGTTCCTGCAAGTGAAGTAAAGTCAGAGGAACCGAAAAGTGACGAAAAACCGATAGAAGAAGAAAAACCAAAAACTGAAGATAAACCAAAACCAAAGTTTAGTTTGGAAACTAAACCAAGTCAACCTTCATTAGCTGGTATGGGTTGGCGTCAAAGACTTATGGCAGCAGGCGGTTATGTAAAGTAAAGAAAAAAATATTTTTTAATTTTATTTGAAATGTACGCTGAGTTTGTTGGAGAAGACCGTTGGGAAACTTGTTTGTTAGATGAGAAATATGAAATGGCATACCATTTTAAAACAATATATTTTTACATATATTAAATGCTTCAGGTTGAAAAACAAAGAACAAAAGTAGCAGATACAAAACCGTTAGACTATATCTTTACAAATGCTGGTAGGACTATTTCAGATGAGGAAATTTCATCCCGAGTATACAGGTTTGACTATCCAATTCGTTGGCTTCAAAGTCCTTCAGATGCAAAGGCAATAGGATTTAGAAGAGTTTTGTTTTCAAATAGAACTAACGCATTTATGTTCGCAGTATATTTTCATGGGCAGTATAAAGGTTCTGATGGTCTAATAGACAAATTTGACGAAATGAGAATCTTTACAGTTCGTTCAGACGAAAGTCTTGAGAAAACTCTAAATGATTTTCAAACTCAAATGAACAAATATTATTGGGAATTTCAAGAAAAATACGACTCTTTACTAAATGGAACATACTATCTGAAACTAGAATATGACAAGATGAACTCCACCGTTTCATTTCAAAAGATTGAAATTAACCCTCCAAGAGATACAGAGTTTTTATATTGGAAAGTAGACAAACGTTCTTGGGCACAATTTCTTCGGTTACTAAACCAGAACGAACCATTACCACCAGATGGTCCATTTCAATTTATACTTCCACCAGCAGATTTGACAGTTTATAGAAACGTGTTTGACCCTCAAAATGTTATGTGTCATGCAAGTTTCAGTTCAAGCAACAATAGTTTTCTATGTATTGGTAAGGACTTTTATGACTTTGCTTCTAAATTCTACGAACCACCTAGTAACAGTTTCTCTGACTTTCAAGTTTGGTTCACAACAAATTGTGTGCAACATATTATTCCATTGTACTATGACTTTTATCTCGAATTGTCTTTCATATATAACTACGGAAAAGTGCTGAAAAAGTATTGAATGTGAAGATATTAGAAAATAACACGTTTTCTAACATCGTAGAAAACTCATGAAAACAATTTATTTTTGACACTTTCACAAAAAACATAAAAAAGTGAAGTTAAACGTTAAGGTTTACTGAACTGGTTGGATGTCGCCTTCTGAGGTTATGAAGAACGGTTGTCCTGAGAAGTGGAACAGTGCTCTGAGAATTTGTATAATTCGTGGAATTGGACTCTCTCTGTTTGGAAGTAGTATCCAAGGACGCTTGGCAAAGAACTTGAGAAGAGCTTCTTTCTTTGCTTGCTTTATGCCATCGTAGGCTGTCCCGTCTGGTATTTGAATTGGAATTCCAGTCGAAATCTCGAGAGTCAAGGCAGCCCTTCCAGAAATAGTGGTGAACTTGACCTTGGGCTTCATGACCTTGCGCAAGTAGTCTTTTATGCAGTCGTTAATTTAAATTAGGTAAATTGCCTCGTCAAATGGCTCGATGTTGTCCATTGCACTGCTTCAGAACAATACTTGTACTTTTTCAGAACAATACTTGCACTGCTTCAGAACAATACTTGTACTTTTTCAGAACAAGACTTGCACTGCTTCAGAACAATACTTGTACTTTTTCAGAACAAGACTTGCACTGCTTCAGAACAATACTTGTACTTTTTCAGAACAATACTTGTACTTTTTCAGAACAAATTTCCCGTAAAAGCTCTCAATTTGTGAGAAAAATTTTCTGTTTCAGAACAATACTTGTACTTTTTCAGAACAATACTTGTACTTTTTCAGAACAATACTTGCACTGCTTCAGAACAATACTTGTACTTTTTCAGAACAATACTTGCACTGCTTCAGAACAATACTTGTACTTTTTCAGAACAAGACTTGCACTGCTTCAGAACAATATTTGTACTGTTTCAAGACAATGTCCGACGTACCACCAACCCAGTCCATTCCCAAACCAGAGGAACCTAAAGCACCACAACAGTCTCATCAGCCTATGCCTTACTGCCCCAACCCTTGGATGTTCCAGCAAGCTCCACCCCAGCAATTCCAATCTCAATCCCAATCGAAGAGAGCCCAAGAGTTCGAAGAAGGTCTGAACCGTTTACGCAAAGATTATGCCACAGCCCCTATTGAGAGAAAGTTGTTCCCGGACCCAAAAATAAAGTTTAGGTGAAGAAGTGAGATCTCACCTGTTTTTTCACCTGTTTTTTCACCTCTTGAATTTTCATGAATTTCCTTAAGATAGAAAAAATAAAGTTAGTTTTATTTTGTATTTTTTGTATGTAAGATATGATTTCAGGGATTTTTTTGACGAAGTGTCAATGTTCACTTCGTCAAAAAATAACAGTTATCTAATGAAAAAGTGTCATTTTTTTGTATTTTTTTGTATGTAAGATATGATTTCAGGGATTTTTTTGACGAAGTGTCAATGTTCACTTCGTCAAAAAATAACAGTTATCTAATGAAAAAGTGTCATTTTTTGTATTTGACGAGAATGTCGGGTAGAAGGTTAGATCTAACCTGTTTTCTCACCTCTTGAATTTTCATGACTTCTTCGTAAATGTTTTGTCAAGACTTCTTCGTAAATGTTTTGTCATGACTTCTTCGTACATGCTTTGTCAAACATGAACGTAAATGTTTTGTCAAGACTTCTTCATCGTAATGAGCGTAAATCAGACAAAAATAATGTTTAGGTGAAGTGGTGCGATCTCACCTGTTTTTTCACCTCTTTTTTCACCTCTTGAATTTTCATGAATTTTCCCGAAATAAAAAATAAAGTTAGTTTTATTTTTTTTATTTTTTTTTATTTTGTATAAAAAAATAAAAATGTCAACAATCGGCACAACAACAGTTCAAACAACAACAGCACCTAACTCGTTAGTCATGAATCCTACGTCAATGTTAGTAGAGATGAAAAGCTTCATTCCTTCTTCATATACTTTCGAAACAGAAATCCAGAAGATAAAGCAAGAACTTTTAACATGTAATTTAGACTGTAGTGCGAAAGATGAAACAAATGAAGAATATCTTTATGAAATGCAGGACATTATTGACCATTTACCCAAATTGCCTGAAATCCAACAACAAAAACTCACTATTCCTGAATTTGACGAAATTGAAGTCAAAGCAACTGACTCAGTAGAAATAAAGAAGTTCATACGAAAGGTAAACTATGAATTCCTTGGTTTTCATTGCAACCATAAGGTTATGGACAAAGATTGCGACATGGTATATAAGAATGTTTCTGACATATATAAATCTGAAGAATTTAAGACCTACGACAACTTTGTTTCGTTAGTTGCTGAATGTGTATGGCAGATAAGAGATAAAGATAGAAGAGGTAAGGTATGGAACAAACAGATAAAACCAGCAACTTTTGAGTTAAAGAAAACCATTGACGCTTTAGTTGTTTTAGCAGGTAAGGTTTCAGAATATAACGCAAAAATGAACCCGCAATGTTCAAAATGTAAAGCGGCAATGAGGAGATATAACTACTCCGTCAAAGAGATAGAAAGAATGAGAAACGACTATGCAGACTTAAAGAAAGAAGCAGAAAAACCAGCAGAAAATAAAATGGACATGTTAGAATTTCTGAACAAAAACTATCCAACAGCAGAAGATTTCCTTCTGTCTGACGTCAAGAAGAAGTATAAAGAAACTTTCGGCATAGTTAAAACATTCGATGTACTAAAAGAAGAAATAGAGGCTACAAAACTGTTTAGGATTTCAAATATACATCGTACAATTCATGTAAAACGCTTGTGAAAAAACAGGTGAGAAAAAAGGTGAAAAAACAGGTGAGATCGCACCACTTCACCTAAACTTTATTTTTGCTGAATTCTGTATAAAATTCTGAGTAAAATGACATATGGCTTGTGTCAAACCGTTGAGTTTTCACAAAATTCCAAAAATAACGTTTACCATGTAAAACGCTTATAAAATAACTGAGGTGAAAAAACAGGTGAAAAAACAGGTGAGATCGCACCACTTCACCTAAAATATATTTTTGCTGAAAAAAATGACCAAATTTCATTATATAACTGTTATTTTTGACGAAGTGAACTTTGACACTTCGTAAAAAAATCCCTGAAATCATATCTTTTATACAAAATAAATGAAGAATACGAGTACATACAGTTTAACAAACAACTCCGTCTCATTCGTTCGGTCAAAGACGATATGTACCAAATGCAAAGTATTTTGACAGCATGTTTTGCTCCAGAAACCAAACATACAGACATTGGTTCAAAAACCAAAGCACACAAGAACTTTTGAGTGAAATTTCTCTAGACCGACTTTTTTCGGTCTAGCATAAAACTCATGAAAATCGTAAAAAAATGACCAAATTTCATGAATTTCCTCATATGTTTGCTACCCGAGGAAAATCGCGGGTAGAGATTCCGTACGAAAATCGTAAAAAATTGCGAGTAGGGAAAAAAACCTGGTCGCCTAAAACTCATGAAAATCGTAAAAAAATGACCAAATTTCATTATATAACTGTTATTTTTTTACGAAGAGAACTTTTGCACTTCGTCAAAAAAATCCCTGAAATCATATCTTTTATACAAGATAGAAAATCTTACTCGCCTAAAACTCATGAAAATCGTGAAAAATTGCGACCCAGACTTTTTTCGGGGTCGCCTAAAACTCATGAAAATCGTGAAAAAATGACCAAATTTCATTATATAACTGTTATTTTTTTACGAAGAGAACTTTTGCACTTCGTAAAAAAAATCCCTGAAATCATATCTTTTATACAAGATAGAAAAAATAAAGTTAGTTTTTTATAAAATATTTTTTTTATTTTGTATGTAAAGACATATATGACAAACATTGAGTTTGAAACAGTTGGAAAGATAGACAATGACACCAAATTGGTTAGAATAGGTGATTTAAACGTAAGATACTCAAAGAAATACAACAAATATTCTTTGTCAGACATTTTATCTCCATCTGGAAAGAAAACAAAGGACTGGGTTAGAATTGCTTCTAGTCAGAAAATTTTGACAAGAAATCCTGAGCTTATGATATCGGTAAGATTCTATGGAACTGCAGCATATCTTATAGACAAAAGTCTTATACCAATAGTTTTGTTATGGTTAGACCCAGTTGTTGGATATAACTTCATAACATATGGTTCATTCGATACGGAACGTTGCAGTGAAGGCTTACTTTACATCGTTCAGAAACCGAAGGACTTCAATACAAAAAGATATAAGATAGGAAGAACATATAATATAACTCAAAGATATGACAGTACAGTCAATATAGTCAAGGTTGTGTTTGCTAATGATATGAGAGCTGCAGAAACAGAACTACTCGAAAAGTTTGAGAAAATGTATGGTGCTCCCATAAAAGGTAAAGAAACGTTTGAAGTAGATGAGATAGATAAAGCTATAAAATTATTTGACGAAGTTGCTGAAAAATACATGTAAAAATAACGTTTACCATGTAAAACGCTTGTGAGAAAACAGGTGAAAAAAAAGGTGAGATCGCACCTCTTCACCTAAACATTATTTTTGTCTGATTTACGCTCATTACGAAGAAGTTTCGACAAAACATTTACGAAGAAGTTTTGACAAAACATTTACGAAGAAGTCTTGACAAAACATTTACGCTCATTACGATGAAGAAGTCTTGACAAAGCATGTACGAAGAAGTCATGACAAAACATTTACGAAGAAGTTTTGACAAAACATGTACGTTCATGTTTGACAAAACATTTACGAAGAAGTCTTGACAAAACATTTACGAAGAAGTCATGAAAATTCACGAGGGTAGAAAACGTGTTAGATCTAACCTTCTACCCTAAAATATATTTTTGCTGAATTCCGTATGAAAACAGTGAAGAACAGCGAGTACGTTAAAAAACGTAGTCGCCAAAACTCTATGAAAATCATGAAGCACAGCGAGACCGACTTCCTTCGGGGTCGCCAAAACTCTATGAAAATCATGAATTTCCTTAAGATAGAAAAAATAAAGTTAGTTTTATTTTTATTTATTTTTTTATTTTGTATGTAAGGACAGATATGTCAACAACAGAGAACACAACAACTGCTATCGTTCATGAAGCCATAAATGAAGAATATGAGTACATACAGTTTAACAAACAGTTACGTCTCATTCGTTCAGTCAAAGATGACATGTACCAAATGCAAAGTATTTTGAATGCTCTTCGTTCTACAAAGCAAGCACATCATTGGTTTGAAAACCAACAGACAAAAGAACTTTTAGAAGAATTTCCTCATATGTTTGCGACCCGAGGAAAACCGCGAGTCGAGATTCCGTACGAAAATCGTAAAAATTTGCTAAATGGTTTGAGAGGCTGGTATGTACATAGACTTCTTGTAAATGCTGTTGCAATGTGGGCTTCACCTCGTTACGCTTGTTATATTTTCATGATGTTAGATGAAATTCATAGACAAGAACGTGAAGAGCTAGAGAACAAGCTTGAAGCAAAAGCAAAAGCATTCACGTTCGGTACCAAAAGGAAAGGAAAAGAACTATAAGTATATGATTTATACTGAAGAGATGGAGAAAGAAGAAGATAAAGATATGGTTATGTTGCATTTAGTCAGAAGAAACAACAAAAGCTTTTACGACCTTGCTAAGATTTACAAATCTGACAGAAATTGGTTCTATCGCGAAAACTTACCGATTTCAATGACCCCAAATGAAGATGTGAAACAAATAGTTCAAGATACGTTACCTCAAACACACTATGATATTAAATGTTGTACAATACTTACCTTCAAAGAAGATTTGCCATTGTTAAAGGAAAAAATAACAGAGTATTTTGACAACTTCAAACAAGCAGAGTAAATGAACCATTTATTTTTCAAGCTTGACTTCAGATGGCTCAGGTAGCTCTATAAAGTAAATTGCCTTGTCAAATCCTTCTGGCATTCCGAGTCCTTCCTTCCGACAGAAAAAGTTTTTCCTTCCAACAGGAAAAGTTTTTCCCGACGACAAGAAAAAATTTTCCAGTTGTCCGTCCGTAAACCATTCAAATTTTCGAAAATTGAGAACTTTTTGGTCGAACTTCAGAAAAAGTTTTTCCTTCCGACAGAAAAAGTTTTTCCTTCCGACAGAAAAAGTTTTTCCCGACAACTGGAAAAGTTCTTCCTTCCGACAGGACACAAACGGATGACTGACGTTCCTCTTCCTGAATGCCTTCCAAAGCCAGAAGAACCGACAGCCCCAGCACCACAACAGACTTACTAAGACTAAACACTTACATTTTTCAAGCTTGACTTTTTACAATTTGAACTTTGTTTGCGTAGATATGAATTCTGAAAGAAGTATGAGGGTCTTGTATGACTTTGTACTTCTCCCATAGTTCATATCTGTCAAACTTACCTGCCATGGACTCTTTCATAAGTTCCATGAAATCGTCTTCGGACAATCCGGGGAAAAGTATAATGTCAGTAAGTATTCTTTTAACATCCTTACTTAAACTCTTTGCTGTCTGTACACATATTACGACTGAGATGTTAAAGTGTCTGAGCTTCTTAAGAATTCGACACATGTCTTGTTCTCTGTTCTTTAACAAAGGATGAGAAGCAAAGTCATCTAAGATAAGAAGACATCTATGAGGGTAAGTCTTCCAATCGTAAGATTGCAATTTTTCGAAATGTATTCTATCTCTTTCTGTTTGTTTCTGAAGTGTTTCTTCTCTAATATTCTCTGCATTTCCTCATTTGGGTCTTTGAACTTCGAATTTATATACTCATTTATAGCATTATACTTCAAAACTCTTCTTTGGTACTTCTTTATCCAATCTAACAACTCAGAGTCTTTTATACATACTAACTTAGACTTCTTTATAATATCTTTGAACGAATTGACGGTTTGGTCAAATTGACCAGAAGTACTACAAATAACAACTAACTCATAGAATGGGTTCTTCTCATCTAGTTCTTGTTGTTGTGCAGCCATTTTAAGATAAGTGAAAGTCTTACCCGACCCAGGTGGTGCAATTAGACCTGTTATACCATTCTGAGCAAATAAGAACTTGTCATGTATAGGCTTTATCTGAGCATTTTCTAACTTCCTCTTGTTCTTGTTTAAAACATTCTCAAATTTTTGTCAATGTCAGCAAACTTTTTTTCTAACATATTTTTAGAAAAATTAAAATTTTTATCTTTTAGAAAATGTCTAGCGATTTCGCTATCTATATTCGAGACAAGCTTTTCGACAGCAAAACATCTGTCGACCATAAAATCTTACATAGTGTAAACAAGAAAGGTGAATTTGTTCTAAAGTTCTGTTTCTGGGAATATGACAAGAACCATAAAACATTAAGCAGAGCAGTCTTAAAATTTGTCAATGACAGACTTGTTGACAGAGATGACGCCGATTGGAAAGATGAAGTCCAACAAAAGTTCTTAGAATGCAAAGAAGACACATGCGCTGTTCTTGAAGATGAAATAGAAAACAGAATAGAAGAGCTATTAAAGGACAAAGAACTTTTACAGAAATATGGTTCGGAGAAATTTGACATAACTCCACCAGAAAAGAAGAAGAAAGAAAAGAAAGTAGAAGAGAGAAGAAAGAACCTGAACCAGTTCCAGAGAAAAAGAAATTTGACATGTAAAAATAAAATTTTATTTTTAGAACATTTCTGGGTCAATGTCAATGTTCTCTTCCTCTTTAGGAGCAAACACTGGCTTAGACTCTAAAATCTTTTTACCCAATTTACCTTGAACTTCAACTATCTTAGACTCATAATATTCATAGTCGTCTGCTTTCTTTGGTTCATAAGGTATAACAAGTTTGTATGCTTTGCCTTCTTTAAGGTTTGAAAACCTTCTGTCAAAACTTTCTTTGACTGCTAACAAACCTTCTATGTCTAAGTCTTCAAATTTCGCACCATTTTTAGTCACAATAGCAAACTTAACTGGTTCGATGTTCCAAACTTTGCTGAATGAAGACTTTTCAAAATGGTAGAAGTAAACATTCAAATATGTGAATGGGTCTAGTTCTTCTTTAAGTCCTGACATGTACTTGTTTACTGAAATATATTTCGTCATCTTTTCTATCGGATAAAAAAATATTTTTTTTTAAATTTACTCATAAAAATTTTTCTTTGTATATACACCATTCTGTACGTCTAAAAGACTTTTGACATTTGCCAAGAATGTTCGTTTAGACGCTGTCATATAACCATATTCTTGACAATATTGTTTATACGAAATCGTACAATGACCTTTCATCTAAACACTCAAAGTCAGTTTCATCTATGAACAGTTCATATACACTCTTGTTTGCTTCTAACAATGTTTGTCTCTCTTCGGTATGTGGAATTTGTCTTGGATTGAACTTTGAAATATCTAATGTCATAAAATATGAGAACAAGTGGTTGTAAAAGTCAGATGTCAAAGTTTCTGCTAAGTCGTCAAAATATTCTGTATCTTGCATATGAGAATCTGACGTTCTGACAACTACATATCTTCTGTCAGAACTTTCTAACTTCATCGGAACAGCATTGTTTGAAACCATAATGAAGTTTGCAACATTTTCACAAAACTCTTTGGTCTCTTTATACTTTCTTTCAACAACTCCAACTTTGTCTGTTATAAGACTCTTCAAAGCATCTGAGTTCAAAACTTTTGTTGTATCTATACTTTGAAGTTCATTGCAAACTATAAGTTTCATATTCTCTATTGAGGAGTTAAATTTACCGCAGATGTTTTCTAAGTTTGTCATATTCGGGTTCGAATAGCCCTCTAACAGTTTGCACAAAATATCTGTAAAGAATGTGTTCTTACCAGTTCCTTGTTTTCCAATTATAATGAGAGCAGTTTCATTTTTAGCACTTGGATGTTGTAAGATGTTTGCAAACCAACATAAGATATACTCATAGACTCTTTCGTTTCCATTGCATATAATTTCTTTGACATGGTCTAACCAAGCTTCTATAATATTTTCTTTCCATTCTACTTGTTCGTATTTATATCCAGTGAAGATAGAATAGAAGTTTGGAGAAGGTGTATAGAACTTTATACCTCGAACTGAAAAATCTTCTAACTTTGACAATAAGATATCCCAAGCATCTAACATCTTCATTCCAACTTGTACAACTTTTATTTTCTTAAGTTTCTGTCTACATTCTTGTTCTGAAACTATTGTCGCTTTAGGTTTGTTAAAGACTACATCCCATTCTTTCATAACATAACATTCTGGGGCAGAGTCGACATAAATGACTAAACGTTTCAAATTCTCGACTGCTTTGTTATAGTCTCTAAATGGACACATATTTCTGAATGCTTGGAAGTCATAAAAATCTGAAACATCTATTCTGTACATTTTTATAAAATAAAAAAAATATTTTTTATTCTTGACTTTGTTGTTGCATTTGTTGCATTTGTTGTTCTTGAGCTATTTGTTGTTGAAGTTGTTCTTGTAATACAATACTTTCACCAGTTGCATCTTCCAATTCGAAACTTTCTGCCGTCATTGACAAATACATAGGACATAAAAGTTTTACAGGAACAAAGTTTGCGTCAACTAATGTCAACGTTATACTTGCCAAAGTGTTTGAGTTCACTAAGGTTGAAAATTCTGCATTCGAATGAACAATAGGCAAACCAGCAGAGAAAGTATTGTTTATACGCATAAGTATTTTTGGTCATAATAGTTTCTGTCGACATTCGAATAACACTTTGAACCTAAGTTTGAAACAATATATAAGATTGGTGTGCTTAATGTCAATGGAATAGACATTCCTTGTATGACACCTTTTCCTGTTATAGGAAACTGTTGGTAAAAACCAGAAATAAGTTTTGTATTATAGCTCATATCGTTTATAGTAAACTCAGTCGGACATCCAAACATAATGAAACCGCTCTAGTTGCAGCACATGTTACACCCGTATTAAAGTATTAAATAAGTCAACAAAACCTGTTGGTGGTATATCTGAGTAAGTATCTTCAAAGGAGTATTTTTTACCATTCACAACAATAAAGTCTTCTGGTGTCAAAAGAGCAAAACAGGCTTTAGTCGTCATTGTGTTTAAAGTTAGTTTACAATACCGTCCTTGAGAGACTTTTGTAAGTTTGTTGTTATAGAATTATATGACTCAGGGTTTTTAGTCGTAATAGTATAAACCATTATATCTTCTGCCATTTATATATATTTAAAAGTTTTTCTGAAAGTGGTGAAGAACTTCATCTAAACTTTCACATGGCGTTTCTTGAAGTTCTCTGTCTAAGAAGTTCAAATATTTTGTAAAGACATAGAACTTTCCTTTGTCTACACGAACAAACAAAACAGGGTCTTTCATATCGTTCAAAAGTGTGTAAAGTCCTTTACATGAAATAAAGTCTATATTATTTTTCTTCAAACATCTTTCAAGAAGTTTTGACATTTTTACTTAGCAAATAAATTTTAATGAAATGTTGTGGTCGTCAAATATTTTTATGACGTCTGGAAAACTATACTTTAAGTTCAACGTTTCACCTCCTTTCATAACGTATATCTTGTCAATGACATTATATGAAACACCACAGCAACTAATGTCGGTTCTATTTCTTTGATGTTTATATCGTCTGCCTCTGTCAAAAGTTTCAATAGTTCTTTCAAAACTTCATGAGGTGCAATGACATATGAGTTCACTTTTACAGGGTTGTGTTCGACCAAGTTTAACATTATACTAAAGCTTGACAAATCTTCTCCTGAGTTTGAAGTTTGTCTTTAAGTTGTTGGTAGTCATTTCGAATATCTGAACAGAACTTAAGTCTCTGCTAACTTCAGGATATGTTGGTTCTTTTACAGGAACAATTGTTATACCATCTTCGTCTTCGTATGGTTTCCCCACTTCAACATCTCTGTCTTTGACATTGACAACAACACTTTGACTGTTTGTTTGAGTTGGTGAATTTAACTTCACATCTGCCACGCCATTAAACCTTTTGAAACACTTACGCTTCTATTTTTCGGAAATGACATTTTACTTAGAATAAAAAGATGGACGTATTCGAGTATCTCTTCGAATTGAAGCAGAACAAAGTTTACAACACAAACAATACAAATACATTGACAGAATAGTTCTTTATACAAACAATGGTAAATGTTATAGAATAGCAGTCTTTGCTGAACCAAAATATTTTCATAAAGCAAAGAAAGTTGGTATAACTGAAATGGTGAAAGTTCTTGAAGCAACAAAATATAACTTCAAAACTTACAGATATTTCTAAAGGTAAGTTTATCTTAAATATTATGTCAAAACTGGCGTACTGTCAATATTTGACGGAGAGAAGTCAGTTCAAGAACAACTTACTGACCTGCTGCCAAAATCTGCTCGATGGAAGCTGTCGTTATGCCAATCTGAGGAGCCCAGCAGGTTTCATCGAACGAATCTTCAAAAGAGCATCTTCCGTGAAAAAGTGCTATTGGTTTTGTAAACTTCTTTGCTCTCAGTTCATCTGGACCGTCTCTGTCACCAGTATATTGTATTTGTACAGTACCACAGTTGAAATACACCCATAAAGTCTTCTGAGTCAGCAAATGGAATGCCAAGCCAAAAGTTTGAACGGTCTCCATTTGTATATTGAGTTTTTTGACCTCCTGTATGAGTCCATACTTTCACATATGGCATAATAGAACTTTGCATTTCAGGGTTAATGGTTGTTTGTGAAGTGTGTTGTTAAAGTTCATAGCATCTAATGTCAAGTTGTATGACCTCATATCCTCAACTGTAGAATATTCTTCTCTTGGATAATATTTGCCATCTATGTTTATATGATATTTAATACCGGGGTTGTAGAAACAAGAATAGTCATTTATAGTTCGTCTGAACAGTACAAACATAGTATCTGCAGTTTCATTGCAGTTGTTAAAGCAATATCTGTTCTTGCACCTGGGTCAGCACTTTGGTTTCCAACTTCACCTGCAAGTCTTTGACAGATATTTGGTGTATAGGGAACATAAGTGGAACTGCAATATATTTGGCAGCTAAAGCATTTGAATATCTGGGTCCAACATATAGACTGCAAGTCTGCTTTCTATCTCTTGCATTCAAACTTTTCGCATGTGAACTTAACTGGGTCCCAAGCAGTTCCAGCAGCATTGAAATAATAGTTTACTTCATTGTTGAAGTTTGAAAAACCAAAGTCTAAGTCAACTTTGTCTTTGCAAAATCGGCGAATGACGTTTGATTTGTTCCCTTTACGCCTGTAATAGTGAATGGGTCTTGTGTTGGTGCAATGACTAAGTTATTTTGCTTGGAGTAAGTTCGATAGAAATTTTTCCTGCCCAGTTTGGCAAGTACTTAAAAACCTGAAGATGAGGAAAGATGACAAAGGAACTCTAAAGTTCTCGTTTTACTTTAGTGGCAGCAGTCCATCTGAACCAGAAAGGTTAACATAAACTCCTGGAACGTTAGGGTCAAGTCTTCTTATTTTCTCAATATTTGCATACTGGTCTGTTTTGTTCTCTAGCTTGTGGTTGTACTGAGTTTCTCAAAGCGAACCATTCATAGTTTG